AATTCCTTTTTTTTTTTTGTTTAATAAAAAGATTAGATCTTGTAATATTAAGAATGCAGAGGTTAGTGCGATAAAAAAAATACTAGAATGTGTAAAATATAATACTATAAATATTGTAGGATAAGAGTTTTAATAGAAAAGGAGAAAGAACTATAGAAACAATCATAAGATAGAGGTTAATGTCCATTTGTTTATAAATTCATTGTCATGAAAGTAATGTGTTGCTAGTAATTTGGAAGAATGTTTGAAATCGAAAGCTAAATTTTTATTATGTAAATAATTGATGTTTATGTATTTTATAAATTTTATATCGAAAAGAAATATATATTTTTTTCTTTTTGAATTTTTTAATAAAAAATAATAATATGAATAAAAAATTTAATTGTCAATTTTTTTTTCAAAACAACAAAAAATTGGAAATGTGTTTTTGAATGGTTTATTTTGAAAAATGTTGAAAAGGTTATAAATCTACATCCGAATAGTTTTTAAAATCATAATCGCTTTGTTTTGAAATGTGTCAATGAGTTATAAGAAAAATGCTAAATTTGGAAGTCAAATTTTTATTATGTGAGCAATATATGATTATGGTTTTTTTTTTCATATATAAAATCTATATTTAAAAGAAACATGATTTTTGTTGATATATTGATTGTTAGATAAAAAATGGTAAAAAGTAAATTAAGAATTAAATTAATTAAAAGTGTTAACTATTATTAGTGATTTTATAAAAAAGTAGGATATTATAAAATATTTTTTATACTTTTTTTTTAAAAATTTCGATAGGATGATCACAAATTAGCCTAGAACAATTAATAACAATAAACCCATCTCACAATTGACACGATAGCCGAGCAAAAAAATGAAACTAAAAAAAAAAAAAAACTATTCACCTATAACAAAAATAAATTCAGAAGAAAACCGAGTAAGAAAACCAAGGAAAAAGATAAAAAATAAATAAATAAAGTGAGAGAAACCCAGAAAAGACCTCCTATCTAGCACCATTAATGCATTGTAGAAAAAAGGACACAAAATAATGAAAAAAAAACACTTGAGTGCCAAACAACAAATTAAAAAGAAAAAAAAAGATAATGATGTAGTAGGACAACAACACTAAGAGGCACGAACAAAAATACAAAAACCAAAGGGTAAAAAAAAACTACCCCACAAAAATAAATAAAAAGCCAGACCCACTCTAGCTCTCAAGACACATAAATCAAGGATAAGAAGGAAGCACTAGAGGGCCAACAATGTAATTGCACAAATCCACCCAATGACACAACAAAAAGCCCACAAAAACTCGGTGCAAAATAACATTGTAATAAATGTTTGAAGAAAACAAAAGAACATTGTAATAAAATGTCTAAAGAGAACAATATAATGTATAGGAAAAACGAGTCTTGGTGAACGAGTGAAGCATACAATGAAATGACATTTTGTTTTAGTTTTTATCTAGTTTGTGACTCGTGCTTCATTGCGAGCCTAATATGATTAGATAGGTTGAGGGTGACGATGTTGATAAATGACATTATAAAATAAGATGGTATTTACAAATGAATTAATTGATCAATCGATAAATTCATCGGCACCAAATTATTTTGTGGTAGCAATTGATGTTGTGTGATGCGAGTTGCACAAACCTATATATTTTTTTATCAATAGATCTTTTCGTGTATCAAAAGAAAAGTTCTAAAATTATCAATATTATAACTCTTTTGATATAGTGCATAGTTAATTTTTTTCATAATCTTTGTGCGTTTTTCATAATTTTTTCAACTCAAAAAAACATGATTCGTTTTTCTTTATGTAATGATTTTAAAATAAAAGTCCGCAATGATGTAAATTAAAAATTTTATCCAAAATTCAAAACCATGCAATCAATTTTTTTTTGTAAGATTTTATCGAAATTTTTTATTTATTTAATGTTAATGAGAAGATTATTATTATTTTTAAATATATACAATGACAATGAATATGCGCTTATAACAAAACACACAATAACTTAAGGTTTTGTTTTAGTATTTTTTTTAAAAAAACAATTATATAACTTCGTCATAATCCTAACTCACTTTACCAACCGACAAATATGATTCCTAAACCAAGAAGATATTCAAGCTATTATAACCCTCCCCTCAAAATCATAGTCTATGACATTATTTAAGACTCAAAAACTTGAAATAGCAACCTTATATGCTTTAATTAAAAGGATTAAAAGAATGATAGAGTGCCATACCAATTTGAAATAATACATATATTTTTTAGAATGTTAGCCTCACTTTCTATGTCTTGTAAATTGAAACTTAACTTAGAGTTACTTTATGGTTTATGGTTGATGCATTTGATAGTGGAGAAAGAATTGAGGAGGTGGGTCATATATATGTTATTTCAAAGCCATGTACCATCCTCATTTTAGTCTCGTTATTTCTCCTTATATGTTTATCTTTTTATATATAAAAAAACACATACTATTCTTATCTAATATTTCCATGTTACGAAATTATCTAAAGTTAGCATACATTGAAAGAATTACTATAAATTACAATTAATGTAATTTTTTGCATCAAATTGTATTATTGATCACTAAGGTTTGTTTGAGCATGTGTAAAGATTAATAATGATTATATATATTTTTTTTTCGAGAAGGTCCATGCTTATTAATTTGCAAAAAATGATCAATGCAATTATAAGAGAAAACGAAAAAAAAAAACAAAGATTAATGCTAATGTTAATTTTTTAGCACTACCTATATCCTTTCTTGTTTATAATGCACCAAATTAATAAGAATTAATTTTCTCTCCTCCTCCTCCTCCTCCTCCTCCTCCTCTCTCTCTCTCTCTCTCTCTCTCTCTCTCTCTCTCTCTCTCTCTCTCTCTCTCTCTCTATATATATATATATATATATATATATATATGGTAATTTAATTAGTATTGACTCGCGAAATCAAGTTACCAAATAAAGTTCACACAATTTGTAGTCTATACGATACACACATAGGTTGGAATACAAAACCTATACTAAAATGCACTCCTATGGTACAAAGACAAATCTTATGTTGGAGTTTAGATTAGCCTTTTCATGAAAAAAACTTAACAACTATATATAAATTGGACAAAATATTTAACTATTGCTAACATTGAGTGGATTTGAAAAGTGACATTGACTAATAGATGTCCAATATATTTAGAACAAAATTGATTAAATAAAAAAATTTGGGACTCGATTGATGTTTTAAGATGGAAGTGGCTGAGGATGCAAGAGCATAAAGCAAACAAACAATATTAGTATATTAGGGTTTACACAATGTACTTCTTCACTAATTTTGCCACATATTTTATTTTTTGCTTAAACTTCATCATCTCTAGAAGATGTAAATCATGACTCGAAAAGGTGTTTTCATCACCGGGAAACATCACCTATCTAATTATTGAATAAAGTTAAAGCATGAAACTGCATTACATTAATCAAAATTAAACAAATTTTAAAAAAAAACATCGCATGTACAAAATAAAAGAAAGAGCTTACGGAGAGTGAGAAATTAAACTTGTAAAACCAGTTTCTAGTTATGTGTTCAATTATATAATAGTGGTAATCAAATGGTTAAAAATAATATTAAAAGAATTGTAAACTTTTAGATAAATTTGCTTTATAATAATGAAAAATAAAAGGGTTTAGTTTGACCTTTTATCAAACAATAATAAGAAAGGATGCTTATGCAAACAATGTCAAATGTTGTCTTTATGTTAGTTTATTTTTTAAAAAATATTTTTGCTAGCAGCCTTTTTTTTTTTTTTTTTTTGCTTTCATGTTGGTGACAATCATATTATGCTTGGCTCTCATATTTGAAGACTTCCAATAGTTTATCTCAAGCAACATGACAATTAAGAAAATCTCATCCCAATGAAAAAAATTGTATGTTTTTTTTTTTTTTTTTTGATTGAGGTTCTAAACATATAGCCACTTTGTGGCAAGTTGTAAAAAATTAGAGTAAGTTTAAAAAAAAATGTTAAGAATTGAATTTAATTCTGAAATTCTCTTAGAGACTATAAAAGTTTGTATTGGTGCGTTGCTAACATCAGATACAGAAACATACAGTTGCTAACATCAGATACATATAGTTGTATCAGAAATTGCTGGGCATCGCCATGACCCTGTAAAAGTACAGAGCGACGATAATGGATACCGGGATAATCATTACTTAACTTCTTCCTCGTTAGAAACATCATCTGTGAGGCTAGAACTCAACTGCCATCGCATCAAAAAGAAACCATACGCCTTTGCTCGCTCGCACACCAAGTATCATAAGCATAAATTATTTTAGAGAAAGAAAAACAATGAGACATAAATTTCAGTTAAGTACCCTTCCAAATTGCCAATTTGAACATCTATACATTCACCATAACTCCTATTGAGTAGAAATTAAGGTTTGGTTAATGGCATTAAGGTGATTTTCTACTCTGCTAACTACTAACTATTAATGCTAATCCTTTAATTATCTAATCACTTATTGTCCACTGTAGAGTGCTACCTATGACAAAAAAGAAAAAAGAACTAAGCTTACTTCCAAAAGTTCATGTATAAAAAGAAATTTAAGGCTTCATTTGACTTTCTTCTGCCATTTGAAAATTACACCTACGTATATAATCAATCAATGCACTAACGTAGCTAAACACCCCATCTACCATGCAAGAGGGGGCTAGAATAGAGGATCTACTAGCATCAACTTGCCATATACTAACTAGTATCGCGTGTCAACTGTACATCCACATACCAGCTTTGAACCTGGCTATTGTGGGAGAATTATGTAAGTAGCAGTGTCCCCTTTGAATTGGTAGCAATAGGGTAACTACATTCAACAAAATTATTGCAGAATTATTATTATTTTTTAAAATTTTTATTTTTTCTAGAATACTAAAAGTTGGTTCGTCCATGATATTGCAGTACAGTATAAATTTTTAGTTCCCAAGCAACTTATAATCACTATCGAGATACTTCCCATCTTCAATATGGAACTCAAAATCATTCCTCTTTTCTTTTCCACCCTCCTAGTTTTATTTCAAGTCTCCTTCTCCACCGGACAAACTGTCGTCAAAGGTGGTTACTGGTTTCCTGGTAGCGGCTTCGCAATTTCTGGCATAAATTCTACCCTTTTCACTCATCTTTTCTGTGCATTTGCCGATGTCAATAGCCAAACATATCAGGTTACAATCTCATCCTCAAATCAAGCTCAATTCCAAACCTTCACGAGTACAGTCCAACAAAAAAACCCTTCAGTGAAAACCCTTTTATCAATTGGTGGAGGTGGTTCCGATGTAACCACATTCGCTTCGATGGCTAGCCAATCCAGTTCTCGTAAATCATTTATTGATTCCTCGATAAAGTTAGCAAGGTCTAACAATTTTCATGGCCTTGACCTTGACTGGGAGTACCCTTCTGATTCTACGCAAATGAACAATTTTGGCACCCTTCTTACTGAGTGGAGAACTGCTGTAGCCGCTGAGGCTAAAAGTTCTGGCAAGACACCATTGCTGTTATCTGCAGCGGTTCTCTACTTATCATACTATTATTCATCCTCGGTGACTTACCCTACCCAGGCTATATCAAACAACCTGGATTGGATTAATCTAATGGCCTATGATTTTTATGGCCCAGGATGGTCTCCATCAAGCACCGGACCTCCGGCTGCTTTATACAATCCGGGGAGCCAACAAAGTGGAGATAATGGGGTCAAGTCTTGGATTCAGGCTGGCTTGTCTGCAAAGAAACTAGTACTTGGCCTTCCCTTTTATGGCTGGTCATGGCGTCTGACAAATGCGAATAACCATGGTCTTTTTGCACCGGCTAATGGACAAGGTCTAGCAGGAGATGGATCAATAGGGTATAATCAGATCAAGCAGTACATAACCCAAAATGGAGCTACTAAAGTATTCAACGCCACTGTTGTTACGGACTACTGTTATAGTGGAACAACATGGATTGGATACGATGATACTCAGTCTATCTCCACTAAAGTTGCATATGCTAAAGGAAAAGGATTGCTAGGTTACTTTGCCTGGCATGTTGGTGCCGATGACAATTGGACCCTTTCTACTAAAGGTTAGTGTTGATTTGACTTATTTACGGGTTGGGCATCATGTTTATTTACGTGAAAAATTACTTGGACTGCAGACCATTCATGTGTCCAGAATATGATAAAATCAAAACTTCTTAGCAAAACTAGTTAGTATATCATTATTTGAATCAGTAATTTTTTATTATAACAATAAGGCCATCATCATTAAATTACAAGCTCTTCGGTTAATTGTGTATGGTCAAAAAGTCGTACTCCAACCAATAAGTTACATTTACATCCACATATTTGGGATCCGATTTCACCATATTAGACTTGCTTTTCCTTTTATCCACATAATTACAAGTTTTGAACCATTTCTTGGTGAAGACGACAATGGTAAAATCAGATTAACTAAAGACCGTATCACCCTAATTAATTTGCTGTTGGATCATCTCTGTCTAGTTTATGTCTTTCATCATTCTAATATGAAATTTCTACTGATTTGACAGCATTCCAAACATGGGGAGCATAGACACCAGTTTATTCCTGATCAAATAAATCGAGGGACATAAAATAGAAGAAACGGGACGGTTCTTCAATCGATTATATAAACGTACGTATGTGTTAATGTCATGTTTATTATACTTCAGCACTAAATAAATAAAATGGTTGCTGAGAATGTGTATGTCTTAATGTCATGTTTATTATATTTCAACACTAAATAAATAAAATGGTTGCTGAGAATATTTATAGATTTTCTCAGTTGATTGAAGAAAATAAAGATGTTTGTGTAACACTTGGATTTAGTAAGTTCTGTGTTAATGTCATGTTGGTGTTTTCGTAACACTTGTTCAAAATTAGAAGGACTGGAATCATAAAGTTTTAGTTACAGTAAATTTCTTGTCTACAGTAGCTTATATTCGTTCCCCCACCGGCTCATGATGAGAATATGAAAGCAATAGGGTGTAACTTTCAGTTCCAGAACGACCTTATTAACCACAGTAATTAGTTATTTAACAATAACCACCTCTTTTCTTCCTAGGTTGATGAGTGAAAATGCCTAAATAAAAAGGAGATTTCCTTTGAAAGTGGCTTAGGTAAAACAATTTTAAGCCACGGTTTTAAACCATGCGGGACCAAAATTCGCCATTTCACATAAAAACTCAGCAAATAATTTTAAAAGTGACATGAAATCAAAGGCTGTATTTTTAAAATGATGCGGAACCAAAAGCAGTGATTTCATAGAAAAAACTAAGGTCAAATTATTTTAAAATAATGCGAAACTAAGGATTACGGTTCTAAAGTGACAAGAAACCAAAAGCTGCAAGTTCAAAAAAAAAAAAAAAAAAAAAAAAAGGTAAAACGATTTTAAAACAATATGGAATTAAAGACCATAGTTTTAAAACAATGCCGATAAAAAACCGTGAGTTTCAAAGAAAAATTGAAATAAAACAATTTTAAAAGAACGTGAAATCAAGGGCCATAGTTTTGAAACCATAGAGAACCAAAAGCCATGAGTTTAAAAGAAAAACTCAAAGTCAAACTGACAATAGTGTCAAATATCATTTTACATAAATCATTCATCAACGAACTAATTAAATAAAAAAGACCTATAGTCATATCATGTACAAAATCATTTTACACAATCATTTATCAAAAAAAAAAAAAAAAAATCAAGCCAATAATGCATCACAAATCATTTTAATTTTCACAAACCATTCATCATCGGATGAAAATCAAACTAATAAAAATAGCACAAGTCATCTGACACAAATCATGAATCAAATTGAAAAAAAAAAAAGAACAAACCAATAATGACATCATAAATGATTTTAAATAAATCACGAATCACATGATCTTAAAAAAATTAATTAACCATATTATTGTTTAGAAAAGTCGTATTAACAATCACGCAAAGATAATCATATAATCAACGTCACATCAGGATTGATATTCATTTGAATAATCTTTGAAATTAAATTTTATTCCAATCCTCTCAACTCGAATATGGATTTTTATTCTTATTTTACATTAATATATTAAATTATTTTAAAGCTTTTATGTATAATACGTATCAATGTAACGTTTATACCTTAAATTAGTTTCATAATCAATTAACAATCACACGAAACCTCAAAGTCATTAAAATGGATAAAAAAAGTTGAAATTTCTAAAAATAAACTACTAAAATGTCTAAACTGCCCTCAGAAAGCTTTCAGAAATTACTTTTTTGCCCTGGCATGTCAGAAGCACGCGCTGGAACTATTTACGAAACTACCACTACACACAGTTTCCTTTGGCTGCTGTCGTTCACCATTCCGCCAGATTCTGACCTCCTTTCTGCATGTGAAGACCGTCATGTTGAAACTCTCGACCTAGTCGGCTTGTTGATGAGGGCCGCCAGACTCACTGCTAGCCAACAAATGCATATCGGAGGCTTAAAGTTTTGGCTAGACTAAAATTTGCACCTTTTTTGTCACTGCTTTTTTATCGGTAGTGTTGGCTTTGACTTCGTATGGAGGAACTTGCAGTTCAAGTGGCTGCACTTGTTGAGGTCGTCGGAGCTATCACATCCGAGAAGGAGAGAAATCATCGATTGGAGCTGTTTTGGTTGATTTTTGGCGACCAAATACGACCCCATGGACGGAGAAGTTGATTGGATCAGTTGGTGGCTCAAGCTGCAATGGCCGGTTAGAGGAGACAGAAACCAATTTTTTATTTTTCCATTTTTTATTTTTTTACCCCACCTTTGATTTTTTGACCATTTCTTATTTATGCTTTTGATTTGCGTGTATATATCTTGATGCCTCTTCGTCTAAGTTCCTTCCGTTTACGTGAAGTTATCTTATTTGACTAAATATTTAATTATCCTAAGTCAGATTAGGCTAATTTTAAAAATTAGATTATGCTTAATTATACTAGAGTGGGATAGTCTATGTGTTTTTATTCTTGATTTGTTTATTTTTACTCATTTTTCTTTCCTCGATATTTTTACTGTCATTTTCTTTCTTTATTTTTCTTTGAATTTCAATTTTATCTACACATGGTTTTTTCAATACTCAATTATTTTCACTCAAGAATTACGAAAATAAATAAAACTCATAAAAATTCATAAAAAAGGCTTAGGTTTTGAAAACAAGATAAATCAAATAAAATCTTTAATTTTCGGCATTTTAGATTTTTTTTTTTTGAAAACTTTGTAAAAATAGAGGTTTGAAATTGGATTATGACAATTTAAATGCTCAATCTTTATTTATTTATTTATTTTTTTCTAATTGAGTTTCCTCCTACAACTTACTATGAATATACTGACGTGGCAGTCTCAAACTAGCTAACACACAGACAAAAGTGGATCCCATCCGTATTTATTAAAAAAATATTATGATAGAAATTGGAAAAAAAAAAAAAAACCAAAACAAAAGGGTAAAATATTGGAAAATGAAAACTTGAATTGAAGGGATAGCTCCATTTTCTTTTTTGAATTTTTAACTATTTAGGTTTTTTTCTTCTACATTTTTTTTAAAAAAAGCTGACACCTATTTTCTTTTTTAGTTTTTTAATTTTTTTTATAAATAATAGTGAAATCTATTTTTTACTACGTGTTAGTTAATCTTGATCATGTTAATATTTTCAAAACTCAAGCAATTAAGGAAACTCAAATAGAAAAAAAAAGTTGAGCACTCAAATAGATAGAATAAAATGTTAAGCACTCAAATAAAAAAAAATCAAAAGTTAAACATCCTCTAACAAAAATACCATGGGTTGAAAAAATCAAACCCCACCTAATTTATATATATATAAAAAACTAAATAAATTTGAAAAGAAAACAAATTGTCATGTGGTGTTAATTTTTTTTTTCATGGTAATTATTTTTTATATAATAAATTAGGTTAGGTTTGAGTTTTTCATAAACAAATTAGGGTATTTTCAGTAGTTTGAACAACAATATTTAATAAAAGGAAAAAAATTGAAAAATAACACTATATTCATAAACAAATTGAGAGCAATTAAAATTTTAAGAACAAATTAGAGACCATGCTTAAAATATAAGGATATGTTCGAATAATTTTTCTTTTATCTCATGATCATTTTTGGTATAATATTAAATCATATGCATATTACATGACTAATTTTAATTGTTTGGCTGGAAAATGACATTAGAAGAATAGATTGTAAGTTAAATTATTTTATAGGAACATAATTGGTTGAATTAAAAATATATATAAAGACAGATGATGACCTAATTATAAAAACAGACTAGGTTATTTTCTCGTAAACTTTAAAAGGTCTTCTCGATGGTGAGGAGACAGTCTGAACGTTTCAAATTCAAGTGTCATTATTAGCTTTTTAAAAATATATCATATCTATATTTAAAAGGTCTTCTCGATGGTTTGGCATGCAGCACTGCAAACATGGAGGGGCTGAAGATTAAAGAAACAGGATGGTTCTCCAATCAGAGTTATGGACAGCTAAGCCAAAGAAGCATATGTCATGATTATTAACACTTGAATTTTGGATAAAGTTTGAAAAGTCTTCTGGAGTATGTCATTAGCAGAATTATCTAATTGTTCCTGATTCAATCAGTTACCTGAGTTCATTTTGACCAAGAGCTAATTATCTAATTGTTCCTGATTCAATCAGTTACCTGAGTTCATTTTGACCAAGAGCTTACTTCAAACTTGTTGGACAAATCTTTCTAGATGGGTTTCAGACTTTGATCATCAGCTGATTCATAATACCGAAACATCAGTCCTTGCTATATCTTATCTGATTAAATGTTTCGTGCAAAATTTCAAGTTATAACACACAGCCACGTACGTTATGTGCTGGAAAAGTTTCTCCAATCTCCAGATTTCCGTTGTTTAAACTTTAAAGATAACCCACCGAAATAGGTTATGAGATTTGGTTTTGAAATGTGCTTATCTCAAAAACAATCTCATAAATGCACATGAATTGATTGACCTTTTCATTCTTCAATCACGGAATTGACTATAGGATACATAACAGCTTAAGGATATGACGCAGTTGAAAATTAATCCAAACAGCTTGTAATGTCAAGCAGGACACGACATTGAATTTTCTCAAATTTAGTGGATAAGACTATGCACGCAACTGAGTCCTGGAATGTTTTATAGAAAATGTCAAAGTTGAAACTTCGAAGTCAGTAAACATCAATTGCTTTCACTAAATTGTCCTGGAATGTTTGATATTGCTCCTATACCCGCTATATATATAAGTTCATTAGAAGCTCTACGTACATATCAAGCAAGACAACTTAGCACCTCTCATCAAATATGGCTACCAAAACACTCCCATTCTTGTTAACTCTCCTATTTCTGCTTCAATTCCACTCCTCGGTAGGGCAAAATGCAGTTAGAGCTGGATATTGGTTTCCTGGCAGTGGATTCCCAGTTTCCAGCATAAATTCCACCCTTTTCACTCACCTTTTCTGTGCATTTGCTGATCTTGATCCCCAAACTAACCGAGTTGTCATCTCATCAGCAAACCAGGGTCAATTCTCTACCTTCACACGAACTGTCCAACAGAAGAATCCTTCAGTCAAGACCCTCTTATCTATCGGTGGAGGGAGTGCAGATGAGGCTGCCTTTGCTAGAATGGCAAGCCAAGCCAGTTCACGCAAATCATTCATCGACTCTTCAATCAATTTAGCAAGGTCTAATAACTTTCACGGCCTGGACCTCGACTGGGAGTATCCATCCACCACTAGTCAGATGACCAACTTGGGCTTACTTCTTGCTGAATGGAGAGTTGCTGTGGCTATTGAGTCGAGGAGGACAGGCAACGCTACATTGCTTCTATCTGCAGCAGTTTTCCGCTCATCAGATTATTACACCATCGATTATCCAGTCAGGTCTATATCAAACAGCCTGGACTGGATCAATGTGATGGCCTATGACTTCTACGGTCCTGGTTGGTCAAATGTGACAGGACCACCTGCTGCATTATACAACCCTGGGAAGACATTGAGTGGGGATTATGGCATCACAAGTTGGATCCAGGCTGGTGTGGCAGCTAATAAAATAGTGCTTGGCTTTCCCTTCTATGGCTGGGCTTGGACGCTTGCAAATGCTAATAACAATGGCTTCTTCGCACCGACTGTTGGACCGGCTATATCGAATGATGGTGACATAGGTTATGCACAGATCAACAATTTCATCGCTCAAAATGGTGCGAGGGTACTTTACAATTCGACTTTTGTTTCCAATTATTGCTACTCTGGGACAACATGGATTGGATATGACGATAGGCAGAGTATTTCCACGAAAGTCACATATGCCAAGAACAGAGGATTACTCGGTTATTTTGCCTGGCATGTTGGTGCTGATGACAATTGGGCTCTTTCTCAACAAGGTTAGCATGCTTAGTTCCCCCCCCCTTCACAGACTCATGAGCTCCCTTCCCCATTTAAAAAAAAAAAAAAAAAAAAAACTTGAAGTCATTAAAACTGGAACATTATTTCGTTAAAAAACCTAACTGAATACACAAATGTTAGACTAAATCCTCGTTCGTGCATGTATGCTTAGTTTTGGTGCTTTTAAGCCTAACTCAATAAAGCCATGGACTACATGCCAATAAATGGCAATTAAAGTAATTAATGCGGTCAAACAAGCTAAGAAAGTAGAATGGCATTGCTTGATTTTTTATCCCTGAATCTGACATACTTGTTTAAATATATATATATATATTTTTTATGATTCATGATTCTAATATATATATATAATTTTTATTTTTGTGGCAGCGGCATCTACATGGGGAGCATAGAGATACATTGCTGACAGGATAAAAATTTATGTGTATCTGCGTATTATCAATTACTACTATAGAATAAGAAGGTTCGACCTTGGTTTTATTTATTTGTAATAAGGCGTAAGGCATATTAAAAAATCAAATACATCTCATAGGAAATTAAATAAATTCTTCTGTTAATATTATTGTGATATCTAATAACATTGAATGGAACAGATACGTAATTTTACTGAATAGATATTAATAAATATATTAAAACAAAATAAACTTTTATCATAGCTAAGTCCTTTTTTTTTTAGTGAATTTTTTTTTTGTTTTAGTCTCTATTTTGTAATATTTCTTTTATTTTTAATTTTCACTGAAATTTTATTATATTTGATTATTGTCTCTGCAATGAACACTTTTTTTGCTTTTAGTGAAATATTACAAAATTCAGTTGACAAAAAGTAAAAATAAAAATTATACTCGATAAAATTCAAATAATTAAAATAAAGTAAAGATCAAAATAGAAAAAAAAAAAAAACTACTTTAACCGTTATCTTCTGCCTATTCCAATTAATACAAAAAGAAATCCAATCAACTCATAACTGCAAGACATATACGATCCATCGATACATGATCCATCCTTTGATAGCGTATACGCTGCCAATTTACAGCTTCAAGTTTTATTTTTGTGAAAAGCTATTAATAAAATGCCACAGCACATCAAAAGATTTCAAGAAAAGTGTCGCATATGCCTTCAATCCCAATGCAACTAGCTAGTGCTTATTCACTATTTCTATTTGTCCACTCAGTCAACTATTTTTATTGAACAAGAATAATGAAATAGAAAATATATTAAAAAAATTCACTATATGAAAATACAAAATTAAATAAAAAAACCTCTTATCATTCTCCAAGGAAGAAAAAAAAATTCCAATTTCATTTTTTTTCCTCTGACAATCTCAGAAAAAATTGGAAACGGATTAGTTTTTTTCAGACTCTCGCTCACTATCTTATACACCAAAGCATAAATCCACCTCTATTTACATAAATTCTTCGCGATTCAATGTACATTAAAAATGATATTCTTTCAATTCCAAAAAAATTAACTCACTGTTTATTTGTATCTGTATCAAAATATTTGTTTTGTCAAACTATAAATAATGTACTTTTTAAAAACAATAAAATACCTCTAATTGATAAAAAAAAAATCTATTGTGTCTTTCTTTTTTTGTTATTCATTAATAAAAAAATCAATATTCTTTATACATATAAATATTTTTAACATAAAATCTTCAAAATTTTTTTTAATTTGCTGCCTTAGTTTTTAGCCTAAAATCATCTTGTGAGAACTTTATACTGAATGCCGAAATTTTGAGAGTAAATATTTTTATTAATATGTTATTTTTTTAATAATTTTTTGAAACTCGATTATTAATTAACTTAATGATTTTTTTTTAATTTACCATTATAATTTTAGATAGATTTTCTTCTTAAATTATTATTGATTCCATGCAATGCAATATTAATTTTGAATATTAAGAAATAAAAAAGAGAGGGTATTTTATTTTAATTTATTTATTGTACAACAACATTTATCATGCATATGCATGTGAATATTCACACAAACATGCTCCGGCAAATATACGATGCTACAAACATTCTTAGCACATGTGTATCACCCCATCAACTATAAATATATTTGTAGCTTAAATATTGGGGTCCTAATTCTGATAGCTAATTAGTGTAATCTTAATATCACTTAGATTCCTTTAATCTTAATGCCACCAATTAAATTCAACTACAATCATCCAGGTTCGTACTTTTTCAAGGTCAGAAACAACACCACAATCATCTATGCTTCATAAAAAATCGTTACCACCATTCTAGCTACTTTCAGGATTGAAATAGTGGAGGAAGAAAAACAAGTAGAGAAAGGAAAAAAGTATAGTGCTAAATTCAGATCCTGTTTACATTTAATAGTCGTAATAAAAATCGGCTCAAATTATTTTTAATAAATAAAACGCTTAATACAAAAAGAATAAAATAAGTAATACAAACGTCATGCCTGACTTCAGAGCAATAACAAATCCTCGTAATCATCCCATATCTACCCACTCTGCAGAATGGCAGGTAGACATCCTGAGAAAGAATCTCTTTGCTGCCGTCTTTTAGATTATAAACCTCAATTTGATAGCCATAAAGTGCCCCAGTCATTCTGAATTTCCCAGTTCTTTTTGCTTGAAGGAAATAACCTTTCGAGCCCTCCCCTTTCACAGAATAGCTAGCATGCACACGCAGGAAGAACCAGCTTATGTCCTTCACGTCATTGTCATTTAAACGATCCCAACGAAGGGCAGTGTCATTATACCTATAGATTTTAACACTACGAGCATTAGGCTCTTTCTGCTCAACTTTCATGTTCTTTCCTTCATGCTCCACCAAGCGACACCACGAGGAGCATCCAACCTCGAGCTGTTTCCAAACTCGAGTTGTCAAGCTATAAATAATCATGCTTACTCCACATCTATCAAAGCAATACACATGATCCCCAACAGTAAGTCGAGCGCGGTTATCGATTGCCATCCTCTGATCTGCACAGCAATGCTGACTCCAGCTTTTATCTCCTGGACATGCTATTTCAAGGTTCACGAGAAAAGTTTACCTAAAAAGGACAACACGGTGAGGGTAACCAACAACTATGGAAAAAGAACCATGATATGGAATGGATGTATCTTCTACATCTGGCATTTTAATTTTAACCTTTGTAAATACATTAATTAAGAATATTGAATCTGGCGGCCTCCTGTCATCTTTCTTTTGTCGCAAAAGAAGCCACCCTTGCTTTGAAAATATTGGTAACGATCTATAAATTCTAGCAGGTCTACGGTATACTTTTCACCTCTTGATAGAGAAATGAACTCCCGTGAAGTGCTGTTGTAGTCGCTGTATTGCATAATCCACGGTAGTTTGTCCCTAGCACATTGAAGCTTCATGGGATCGCCTGTTGATGCAAGCCACCAATTTTTACAAACAGCAGCTAGTCGCACATTATCAACAAAATCAAGCCTATCCTTGATCATCCATAAGAGAAGAGAAGGAAGCAATGACCAAGATTCTGTAACACTCCTATCATTTGCGATTTCAAAAACAGGCTTGTCTGTTCTGTTCCTCTTGGGAGTGGCAAACTCAAGAAAATGGATGACCAACTACAAGGATCTGTCCAAGATGCTAAAAAGTTGCCTTTAGCAAAGATCACCACCTCAGGTGTGCTTCCAATGCTAGTTAAAGGTCTAATCGGCAGCAATACAGCTCCAATCCCAGAAGCTAATACACATGGACACATGGACCAAAAGCAGTTAAAAACTATACATTGATTATAAGCCTTCCATACGAACAACAATAGTATGAGGCACGTGAAATTACCTGTCTCAGGTATTGAATGTGCAGTGAGAACAATGGAGCAGTATTTTGTGAAGAGATCAAGAACACCAAAGATCTTCCAGTCACACAGCTCCTGCTTATTCACATAAAATAAAGCCTTAAGAAAAAGGATTCAACCCTAAATTTATGTAAATAGATGCATGAAGAAAACTGAAAAGTTATGACAGTTACAGTATAATAATAATGAAAAATTACTCGCAACATTTAAGCTTCTGGCCAACAGTAGAATCAAGAAACACCCACAATTACAAATTGGTTGATGCAGATCTTCTTAGTATATACAAACCCAAAAGGTACTTGATCACCCATCTTTCGCCCTCTCTCCCCCCAACCCCAAGTTTCACTCACATATGAATTATAATGTGCCCTTAAACACCTGTCACATGCACAGCTATCCTCATAACTTAATGGTGCATGTGTATGCACAATTAATTTTTCTTTTCACTTACCATAATCCTCAATCCTTCGCATTAAACCTAATTCACACATAAACAAAGAGAAAAATCTTAATTCCAGTTCCAAACAAATTTTCTTAAATGCATAGCCTACCCAAAAGGCACCTGTAAACATAATACTAATAATAGGTCACAGGCACACAGCACACCAAGAAGGTGTACTCATAAAAAGATGCGATTCACATGCTTAAGTAATCACATCAAACTTTGGAAAACAAAGGAGCTAATAAATTAGATAATATGGGCAGTAAAGTAATGTTTTTGGTGATTAGTAATCGCATTCCAAGATCACAATATACCACTTGGTATAATTAGTCTTGGATACTTCAAGCAGAGTAGTGTCTACAAAATCAGAGCCTCTAGGATAGATAACACCAAATCTCTTGCATACGTCAAGCTGAGTAGTGTCTACAAAATCAGAGCTTCTAGGATACAGTAAAACCAAATAATTTAAAATATGCAACTAAAATATACAGAACCTCATCTCAGCATATCTTTTTGAAATTGATGCTGCATTTCAGATTTCACCTTCAGATTGTGTCACTAAATTAAGATCTACCTGACTTCATTCACTCACAATTCAATGTAAATATCCCCTGAATTGTTGATAAAAAAAAAGTACCCTGAATTTATATATAATTCTGTAGAAACACAAATAGTGCTCAGTCAAATCAGTCAAGCCTAAACCGTTGTCGAACGCTTGAGATGTAACTTGCAGCTTTGGTATCAATGGTTTCATCAATGGTACTTGGGAACTCATCTTGACCATTATTTCTGTTACGTGGATGACCCAAATTTCCTCTACGTTTGCCTCAAATCCTATTAAATACATTCCTTTTGTACATGATATTGGACTGCTTGAGCAAATTAACGTGCAGGACTCTTTTTTCTTCTCTCTATATTTTATGTCACCTTGCATGCATTTTTCCTTTTTGAACTACTTATCATCATAATTCGATAATGAACAGTCACCATTTTTCTTGGCTTACTACTGTCCTATTTGCACGGATCTCATAATTGTGATGAAGGCATCAACATGTGGCCTTACCTTCTTTACCGATTGCATTGACAAATCGGAAGAAGCACAAAAAACATGCCTCGCTTTGTAGGCAATCCATTAGAATCTTCCTCTCTCCAACACATTAAATTATAACAAGGCTAAGGTTATCGTCAACGGAGACATGAAAAGATATCCGAGTGCCTTAAAATTTTTAATCACAAGTGGGGATTTGACGCGCACCATATGGAAAGAACATTAAGATTCCGGTGATATTAACTTCATTAAAGAGTGAATGTACTAGCTAGTAATTTGCATATCTTCAATCATAAAGTTTTAAGTATTTAAGTAATGAAGAAATGCCGATATCATTATGCTCAATTATAATTTTTTTTACATGTTTTATAGGAAAAATTTGACTTTCTTGATGTTGCAAAGAAATGAATTTTGGCATCATTAAATAAAAAGTGGAGGGATTTCAAAAGTGACTTGAAAGCTGAGTTTTTTGATCCTAGTAAAACGACGAAGAGATCATTGCATCCAAAGAATTGCCTCCCGATGTGTTGATAGATCAATAGTCTACTTTGGTCAATAGATGGTTTACTCCGTAAAGCCGGGTTTCGAATTATTTCATATTATAACTTGTTTTTTTTTTTTTTTTTTTTACCTATTTGTATGATTTACAATCAATTATTATTATTATTATTATTATTATTTTTATGTAGAAAGCAAGTGAGGTAAATACTGTAAATGCAAACAAAAATAAATGTGCACATACATTAGGCAGAAAAAGTTGTGCAAGAAAAAGAAGAAAAATGATAATTTTAATAATTTATAATTTTACATTTAAATACTCGTTTATGTATGAAATTAGATTAAATATGTATAATTATTTGTAGGAAGAAAGGGATGGAAAGGAACCCGATAGGTTGACATTGTATGAAGCTACTCATAAGAAGAAGGACGACACATTTGTGGATGACAATGTTAGGCTAAAAATGGTACTAAAATTTTGTTGTAATTTATTTATTGTTGATGAATTATATTTCATTATTCACTTATTCTAAATATACTTGTCTTGATATTTATAGGAAAAGGCTCGTTCTCTCCAAGTCGAGCGTTATGAAGGTTCCTCGACCACCGGTGTTATTGGTATAAATGAAGAGATTTTTCAAGAAGTTATGGGTAAAGAACACAATAGTAGAGTTAGAGGATTAGGCTTGGGTCCAACACTAACATTATTCTTTGATTTACAATCTCGGTTTGGAAGTGGCCAAGGTGGTGCATCCGCAAATCAATTAAGTGAAGTAGAAGAAATGAAAGAGCAATTGCATACAATGCAAACCAAATATGATACAATAAAATCTAGATATCATGCAATACACTACAAGAAAGATATGTTTTAGCGACGGTCAAAAAACCGTTGCTAAAGACAAATATTAGCAACAATTTTATTGACTTTAGCAACGGTCTAAAAAATGGTTACAAATATTAAAATTTGTGATCGTTTTTTGGCAACGATCTACAAAATCCATTGCTAATGTTAAAGGCCAACCCTTTTAGCGACGGTTTCCATATATAAGAAACCGTTACAAATTTAGCAACGATTTATACCATCGCTAAACCGTTCCTAAACATATAATTGGTATTAGCAACGATCCAAATCGTTGCTAACCCGTTGCTAAATATTATTTAATATTTTTTCAACGGTTTTATAAAAAAACCGTTGCTAAATAAAATACTAATTTAGGATCGTTGCTAATTCGTTACCAAATGGGTCGGGGCTAAAACGGACCGAAGATTAACAACGGTTTGGTGTTGGTAAATGTTGGGTGTCGGCGACCATTGTTGATATCAATCCTTTCGCTTCGTAGGAGTTTTATTCACAAGTGCTCCACCACTTGCCGCATCAATCAAATTTCGCTCCGAATGTAACAATCCTTCATAAAAGTACTCGAATGAGCAAGTCGATCGGCAATTTGATGATGAGGGCAGCTAGCACAAAGTTGTTTGAATCTCTTCCAATATTCATAAAGGGTCTCTCCATTGTATTAACGGATACCACAAATTTCTTTACGGATGGTAGTAGCTCGGGATGCTTGGGAAGTACTTCTCTAAAAATTGCCTCTTCATCTCATTCCAAGTAGTAATTGAACCGGATGGCAAATAATACAACCAATCTTTGGCTTTTTCGATCAAGGAAAATGGAAAAGCATGAAGTTTGATTTGTTCCTCGGTTACTCCTTGTGGCTTCATACTCGAACAAACTACATGGAATTCCTTAAGGTGTTTATGAGGATCTTCACCTGCAAGTCCATGGAAAGAAGGTAGTAGATGAATCGGTCTAGATTTCAACTCAAAAGCCACCTCAATTTCGGGATAAGCAATGCGAAAGGGTCTGCTGGTTCAAATTTGGTGCGACCATCCGTCTTAAGGTCTCGTTCATTAGCCATGATTTCTTCTTCTTCTTCGGACTCGCTGGATGAACACACCAAGTCTTCAGCAGAACCTAGTTCGGAGTTGAAATTAATGGGACCGAAAGTTGTTGTTCGGTTTCTTTCCTTAATCTACGGGTTGTTTTCTCAATTTCCGGATCAAACGTAAGTTCACACTGTACGAAAAGATCGAGTCATAAAAAAAATTAGATAAGATAAGGATGCCAATCCCCGTAACGGTGCCAAAATTTGTTG